AAAACAAGAGGAATTGAAACAAAGAATAACTGAGCATCTAGAACAGCACAAAAACAACAGATTAAGGTTGCCTGCATTGAAGCTTGTTACAAATAAACAGCTAGTACAAGTATTAAATGATGCCAATACTGTATAAGCACCATCTCACTGCAAGAAACAAACCAACTGATATATAGCATGGCTGCAGTTATAACTGAATACCTTGGTTGCAAACAAGAAAAAAAGCCAAACAGTGCACCACCAAAATGGAAGATCAGGTTGGAAAATAAGATCAGCATGCCTAGATCAGATGTAAGCAAGCTAGAACAGATGGAAGAAAAGAAGCTGAAGAACAAAAAGACCAAATAATACCTGATCAAGAAATATCACCTAGAAACAAGGAAGATCAAGGAAGCACTAGAAATAATAAAGCAACAAATAACAGCCACAGCCAAGAAGATCAGCAGATAAGAAGCTCGAATTGCAGAATCTCCAATTTCAGTCGAATCAGAAACATTTCTACCAATCCTTCAATGGAGAGACTGCAATGAATCAGTCAAAATTGACAAAGAAGAAACAATGAAGTTCTGGGCACAGCAATGGGACAACTCAAAGACATACAACAAGAATGCAGGATAAAAGAAGTAGATAAGAATGAAAAAGAAGCTGGAACTAAAGATCTCATAGTAACAGCAAAAATGGTGGAGAAAAGGGCAAGGAAGATCAAGAATTGGTCAGCATTAGGTGAAGATGAACTGCATGGTTATTGGTTGAAACATCTGACTGCTCTGCACCCACTCATTGCCAAGCAATGTAACAACATACTGCAATTAGGTAAAATTGAAGATTGGTTAACATCTGTCAAAACCCACCAGATCCAGCAAAAGGGGCAACACCAGGCAACTACAGACAAATTACCTGCTTGCCAACAACTTTCAGATTGCTAACTGGTGTGGTAGTCAATGCAGTCCAACAGCATCCAAGCTCTTTCCATCTGAGCAGAAAAGAAACTGCCCAAACAGCAGAGGGACAAAAGATGAGCTCCTAATTAACAAGATGACTTTGGAAAACTGTAAGAGAAGGAAGACCAACTTGAATGTAGCTTGGATTGATTACAAGAAGGCATTCAATTCCCTGCCACATGACTAGATATTCAAGTACCTAGAAATAACAGGAGTCAGCAGAAACATCAGAAGCTTTGCGCAAAGTTCAGTGGCAGAATGGAAGGCACAATTGCTGGTCAGTGGTGACAGACTGGGAGAGGTTAACATCAAGAGAGGAATCTTTCAAGGGGACTCACTATCACCAGTACTGTTTATCATTGCATTGATTCCTCTGTCAACAGTACTGAACAAGTCAGGACAGGGCTGTCAAACATCAAAAACATCTGCCAGAACATGTCATAGTGGTAACATTTCCTTGGTAGAATGGATGGATCTTTTCAATGTTCTCAGAATTTCCCAGGAATGTTTAGTGACACTAAATATAAAAGTATTCTGTGTCTTGCTACCATTTCTCAGCATTTATATTTAGCTCTTCACTGAATTTCAGTTTCCTCTATGTGAGATTAAATCTTTGAAGGTCTTAAGAGGTTTGAATGACCTCTAGTAAACTCTGTTAATCCTCCCAAATAAACATTATCCCCAAACATAAACTACCTATTTTTTAAATTCAATAAAAATAAATATCTGACTTGGCAACTATAACTATTACAAATCATCATTAACACTGTTATCATTGTGGCTTGTTTTGCCAAGGCCTTAAACTAAAGGATTTAAGTTTTGAAATATTTTTATTTCGGTAATAGTGACATTGTCAGCAAATGTATTGTGATTTCTTTTTGAGAGAACGCGTCTTGACAGAGGTCTGAAGAACTCCAGTAAAATATTTTCTTTTTATCAGAAGCATTTTGTTAAGTGCATCTCTTTGGAGGAAAACAGACATAATACAATGACTACATTCACGTTTTATTTACTGTGCTTTTTCTATCTGTTCTTTTGGAAGAACTAAGAACACTTTATACACGGCTCTCAGGAAATGTCTCAACTTGTAGTCCTCACCTAGAGGACTACAAACTCTTAATCCTAAGAATGTAAGACTACATTTTCTCACAGAACCTTCATAATTCAAAGGACTAATTCCACAACTCCATAGAATATGAATTACAAATGCTGGCCATCCCCAGATGTTCAGAAGAAAGCACAGGTCAGCTGTTGTGTAAAGTACATATCTAAAACAAGCCTGGTAGCATGACAGCTTTCAGTAAGACAACCTATTTCTGTTAACACAAAGTTTCATCAACTTTGCAAACCAATGATAACACCTTTTTAAAAGAGTAACACCACCAGTTCAGGCATACTGAACCCATATCATAAAAAGCCAGATTAAACTAGAAGCTGTGCTCACCTGAATTTCTTCCCAAATGTCTTCATCTAGAAGTGTGGCAGCAGTGTAATGCTGCATAGGAGTGATCAGGCAATGGCCTTCAGTAAGAGACTGGTACCTCGGCAAGGATAAGTATACCTAGAAAAGAAAATGCAACATTTGAGCATCCAGTTAGTGTACACTGACCTTATGATTTCCATGATTCATCCTAGCCAAACAAGACATGATATAAAAGCTTGCTTAGAGGGAGTGTGATTTTAAAGGAACTAAAAACTCTACAAGTGGGAATCTGCTAAACAGTTTCCATACCCAGGGTTTTATATATCCTTATAGGACAGGATCCATGGAGGACAGGATCCATGGGTGAGAAAAAAACAGCAAGGCAACAAACATCATTTCTCAGCTACGAGGCTCTTTTTATATGGAGTTTGAAAAGATAAAGATGTGTGCGCACACATGCACATACACAGGTTGCCATGCCATCTAATTTGGACTGGAATCCCTTCACTGAATATATTCAAGCAGAGGCTGAACAGTCATTTGCCAGGGATGCTGGATTTCTGCAAGGAGCAGAAGATTGAATGTGATGGGTTAAAATGGTTTCTTTCAGCTCTTTGAAACTAATTCCAAATTTGTTTTGTAAGGACGAGAGACTATATCCATTGTTTTTTAATTTCTGAATGACTTTGTTTGCCTTTGTGCCTTTGTTTTCTTCTACCATTTATCATTTCACCTTTCTTCTAGGACTCTTTTCCTCTTACAACTCAACTCTGCTTTGGCCTCCTAATTATTTGCTCTCCTCATGCAACCTAAATATTCAGCTCTTGTGTATCACTGCAGCAAGGTCATCAGCAAATCTGAAGTAAAGATTAACTTGATAATTCAAGGCAGAGTCATATTCATATTTGCTGCATCCTTGAAGTGGCTTTTTCCTCTTAATTGAAGAGCCAGGGATATTCAAAAGCAATCATTCATGTCATAAGAAGCAATCTTAATTTTAATTTTATAACATCATGGCACAGAGAGCAGCCTTCTTTTACTTCTTCCATTTATATGTCAAAATAACTGATATTGTTCCCTTACCTTGTTACCAATTGCAATGATTAGGTGTTTAGGAAGTTCAGGGCTACCAAAGCAGTGAGGACATTTTTCCATACATGCAGCAAGTCGCTGATGCTCACGGATCGCTTGTTTCCTCTGCCTTTCCTCCTCTTTTCCACTCTCCTCCCTCTTTGCTGCTTTGGAAACAAACATGTCATCCAGAGTGTAATAATCTCTATCAGTTTTGTCTGAAAACTAAAGCAAAAGATAGGTCAAGTGAGCTAGAAGGCAAAACTTGGATCATAAAGTTTATTTGATGACTTCCAGAAAGTCGCTATCTCTAAACTAGGGTTGCAGTGTTTTGCAAAGGGCTGTGGCACAAAGTGCAGTGGTGTGAGGTGCTCATCTTCGAGTGTGGAAGCAGCCACCTTTGTGTGCTCAGACAATGCCGGGATTGCCATGAGGTGGCTGTACATGTGCTCACATACAAAGACAACATGTGGAAAACTCCTAAACCAGCCATATTGAACCTTCAGGAAAGTACAACTGCTTCCATGCTCAAAGGAGTGTGCTTCAAACCAGTGAACTCTGTGGAGCTCCACTGGAAATGTTTGCACAGCACTAATAAAAACCAAGTAACACTTCGTTTTTATTAAGGTGCCCTGCTTTTCATCAGTGAGAGTTGCTGCCTTGCATAAAGCCCATATCCTGTCTCTGTTCTTATAATCTGCATTATATGGACAGATCAGGGATAGTGCAGGCCACGAACAACAACAGGTTAAGAAAAAGTCACAATAGGTAAATTTAGGCATTCAAAAGCTGTTTAAGGTCATTTGTCCCAGCCTTTTCCATAGAGGAATATGTGTCTGGCAAAACACCTCGGTACACAGTACTGTACAACAAATATCCCTGATGGATACAGCCCCAGCTTTCTGGCTACAAGTGGGATGCCACATCTCACAACTACTGCAAACATGTGACTCAGTTTTAGAGACTTGCTGACAATTTTGCACGGCCTTGGCCAAATGACGTATTTTCTAGGTAAATGTGCCTTGAACTATCAAACAAAAAAGGCAAGTAGATCTCAAGTCTCACATGGAATATTCTATTGGATAGAATAAAGGACACTTTATGCTCACACATTAGGAATCCATTCAATAAAGTATTTCCTACTAGGACCTCGGATATTCTCCTTCTCTCCCCTTTTTTTTGGGGGGGGGGCAACTGGGAAATCAGTGTGTGTTTCCTTTTTCCTAAAGTACCAAGATAGATAGCTAAAAAAGAAAAAAGGCAGAAAATAAAGGAAAGCAAAAATATATATATATAAAAAAGGATGGAAACTACAAATTGTTACCAGGTTGCTTATAATAACTAAAAGCCAAAGAATTAAGACATAAATGTACACAGTGCTCTACCCAACTTAAACTACCAAAACCTGAGTGAAAAAACAAATCAAAACAAGGCTGGAACCCTGCTATATACAAACACATTTTACCTTATTTTGCCCTTTTGTTCTTTTTCATTTCCAAAGTTTTGCTCTAGCTAAATATTAGCTAGAGCAGAACTTTGCCCAATGTTACTGACAAAAATAACCAGCGTTATTGATAAAAATTTCACCATCTTAAAAAAAAAAAATACACAAACACACATTAAATTTAGTCAGTGGAAGAGCGTCCATACTGTGTTGCAGAAGAATGTATGATACATGATAACACATGATACACTGCAGCATGTTTTAGAACACATTTTCATGAGGTTTCTATAGAAACCACAGAAAGGCTCTTTAGAAAGCTTTTCAAAAGACAAACTGCCTTGAAATGTTAATATTTTTGTTAAGTGTGGTAAACTGAAGTATTTATGAAGCTAGGTGTACAATTTCATAAACTGATTTTTTTTTTCAAGCAGCATTTTTAAAAAGTTTAATTCAGGTGTCATTTAGAGTTCCACAAGTCAGTATCTTTTAATATATATTGACAGCATAACACACCATGACATTGAAAGTGAATATAAAACAATTTTAAAATCCTGACTATATATCATGGTCAGAATGGTTTCTATAATACCTTTTCCTTGTACTAATTAATATGAACATAGGACTGAATTTTAAATTAACTCATCTTATAAATTAGCTTATTTTAAAATAACATACAAAAGAGAATAGGTTTTAAATCTGAGTTGTCTTGTGTATGTATTATGTTTTTGTTTTCTTTTCTGTTTATTTACTTCTTTGTGCCTTTCAGATTTCAGAAGAGTTTTTTTGTTTTGCTTTTTCATTTTTGTTTGTTTTTTGCGTCTTTGAGTCAGTGTTGACTCCTGGCGACTGCCTGGACAAGTCCCTGCAGTGTTCGTGACAAGATTTCAGAAATGGTTTGCCACTGCCTCTTTCCAAGGGCTGGGAGAGAATGCGGCTTTGTGCCTAGGGCGGGACTAGAACTCATGGTCTCCTGGTTTCTAGCTTAGTGCCTTAACCACTGCACCAAAGTAGCTCTCTTTCGTATACTAAAGCAATTAAAAAAAAACAAAAACAAACCCCAGCATCATAAATATTCCAGCAATACAATCACTAGGAATCAAGCATTCCTCGCACCCATCTGGTGAAAAAGCAATCACATGAAAGGTATTTTGCTTATTACGGTAAGACCCCTGCTGGATTAAAGCACAGGCCTAGAGTACGCCCTCCTTTTTTACAGTGGCTGAATAGATACCTATAGGAAGCCCAATGAGGATGTGAAAAAAAACAGTAATATCCTATTTGAGCATCTCAGGAATAGATATGAAGGGGCACATAGCCATAACAGTTAATAGCCTCCAACCATTTTATCCTTCATGAATTTCTTTAATCCCCTTTCAAGACTGTCCAAATTACTGGCATCATTTTAACTTGACATTCTATTATGGAAGAGGAAGAAAATGTCTCTGTTTTCTCTACACTATGCATCATGTCCCGTCTCCACCCTATATTCTTTTTGCTTTCCTTTTTTTAAAATGTAAACTACCTTTATTAAAACTTACTGTTCCATTTACCTGTGTTTCTATAGAAACCATGCTTAATAGGTTGTCATGCTCTTATTCCCAAGTTACAGTATTGCAGTCTGGACAAGCACAGGATAAAAGCTTCTGCATTAATGGAGCCCAATTATAGGAAAGGTGCTGGATTCAAAGGCTCAGAACCAATTCTCAGAGGCTCATTATCCATTAGCTGAGTGTATCTTACATGCCTTGGGGAATACGTGCCAATGGAAAATCCCCAGTGAACATTTACTCAGCATATGTACAGATTGCAAATGCTTCCTTTTGCCACAAGATCACTTGATGTTTGATTATATGCCATCAAGTCAGTGTCAAGTTAGCAACCATACAGATAGATCCTTTCTAGGATGGTATGTTGGAGATAAATCCAACATTCCTTGTAATGTGAGGTCTTGCTATGTCCACATCTACTGCTTATGACAGAAGTGTGCTTGGCTTCTTCTGCCTCACTGATCCAGACTTATGTCTGTGTTACTCTCCATGTTCAATACAACCAGAATAAATCATGCAAACTAAGCATAAGATGCACTGTTTATTGATTTATAAGGCAGTTTGCACATAAGTTAAAGAATTCAAACTTTCTTAACATAGAATTTTGATTCTTGGTTTTAAAACACAGATTATGTAGAAGCCAGGTAGCAGGTTGCAGGATAAGTCCACCAGACTCAACACTTCATCTATCACTAATATTAGTTTTTGCCTTACCAATACATCCTGCAGATGGAAAAGTAACTGAAAAAATGTGTTTTAATAGGTCTACACTGATTTGTGGGTTTAAAGAGCTGTAATTTTTGAGACAAAATATATTATAAATTTACTGTTTATTTCCCACCAGTGCTCACCTGTTATTTTATAGTATTATTTTTCAGGTCTTTTAGATGATATCACCCCTTTATATTTCCCTCAAATTCTCCAGTATTCACTTAAAATGATTGATCTCAAACAAAAAAAAACTTGCATCTTTCCAAAATATGTACACTTCACAGTCATTCATATATAGGAAAGGATGGTTAAAATAAAGAATTGTGTGTTTCCTAGAAATTCACCAGCTTGTTAACATTGCTGTGGCTCAAATCTCAGTGGAGGTTTTGTGCAATTCAATACTATGTTTACCTTTGAAAGGGGAAAAAATCTCAACAGAGTCACCCATAAAACTATTTCAACTTTACTTGTGTAGAGATACAAAGATACCCTTGAAGAGGAATGCAAGAACCATTAAGGAAACATGAACTTAGTTCTAGGAAGGAAGAGGGGATGAGAAAGAAACTCAAGATAACCTTGCCTTGATTCTGTTTGGTATAAAAAGGGGTAGAGAGAAACTTCGAAAGGCTTTCAAAAATAATTAAATATATTCTATCATTTTAAAAACTATCAATCACTGTTAAAATCCAAATAATATCATAATAATATTAACAGCAAAGGTCAACACAATATAAATCGTACAACGAAATTAAAAGTAACAGAATAATAGAAAAAACAGTAAGAATAGCAATAATCAAGATCAACCCACACGTCTCAATCAAGATTTCAATCAAGATTCTACACATCCTCATCCTACAATCACACCCAATTCCCAGGGGGAGAACCCTGTTTTTAAGTCTTTATGAAAGAACAGAAGAATCAGGACCATTTGAACCTCAGGATAATCTTGTTCCACAGAGCAGGTTCTGCAACAGAAAAGGGACGCCTCCTAGGTCTTACTATATGACACTGTTTAGCACAAGGGACCCGAAGCAAGCTTATTCTGTCCAATCTCAAATAACCCAGCAGAAGGTCCATGAAGGACCTTACAGGTGATAGTCAATATCTTAAACTGCACCTGGAAGCTTATAGGGAGCCAATGCACTTAATGAGGTATGCCCATAATTACTCATGCTGATGTATTCTAGATTGACTGCAGCTTCCACATGGCTACCATGAGTTCTTACAGCACGACCTAAGAATCCAAGCAAATCCATAATCGCATACCAGTTCTATCTTGGGGAGTGCAACCACATTCAGGGCCAAAGATAGAGTGTACCTGGAGTCAGGGAACCCAAAAACTCACACCACTCAGTGTGGCTAAGGTAGAGGCAACACCTGTTTTCTCCCCATCCCTACCCTCACAGCTTCCAAAGGCTGGGAAAGAACCTTGACAGCATCTCTAAGTCAACATAGGGTAGAGATGTATAATTGGGTATCATCACCATACTGATGATACTTGACCCTGTATTGAGAGATGACCA